ATTAAAACCAACTTGATACTCTTGATCGGTAATTGCAGTGTGTAGCCTTTGGCTATTTTACTTCACGTTTAAGGCAGCAATTTTAAGCTTCCTATTTAAACTTGTGTCTGATTGAACAATTAATAGAAATGGCCATTCAGCCAAAAGTCATTTTCAAAATCTAATGACAGGCTTGTGCAGATTTTTGTAGTCAATTTTAAGAAATATTGTGCCATCATTGTCATACCAGCTTAAGGCAGTGGTGATCAGCCCCCTAATGACCAGCTTAAACCAGTTAATGACCAGCTTAAACCAGTTAATGACCAGCTTAAACCAGTTAGAAACCAACTACTATGTTCCAAAACACAGCTACCATCTTAACAGGCATCAGCCACTAGTGGCAATGGACATTAAAAAAAAAACATGGTCAACCACGTTTTTTTAAACAAATTAATTTGTAACTTTTTTAACTTGTGCTTCTAATATGTAACAACAGGCTAATTCAATAATAACAAATTGACTGTGGTTTTCGTAGAGTCTGTTGAGAGACCACAGCATGATACTTCTAAGGTTGGACACTCGAGTCAACATTTTTGCAATTAGCAAAAAAAGAGACTTCTTGTTTTAAATGATTACTGATAAGAACCCACAGCTGGAATCTCGGATTCTCAAGATTGAGCACAAGTTCAAGAGTAGCCCGGACTCAGATAATGCAGAACATGGTTTTAAATGCGTTACTTAAGGTCAGCGGATTTCTATAAGGCAAGTTAAAGATCTCATGCTTAGCTAATAAGTGATCCTTCTGGGCCAAAACTAAAGGTGCATAAAGATCTGATGTGTGTTAAAGTCAGCCTTTTATGTCCTGTGATCCTCACTTTATAATTAAAGAGCTCCCACTGAATAAAACATCTTAAAGCAGATGGTTTGAAGATCTTGATCTTGACCCGCTGTGAAAACTCGAAAGCGAACCATAAGAACAGTCTGTTGATTTGATGTTCTTCAACAGAGCTACAGCAGTAGATTATAACGTAATGCTGATCAAAATCATTCTTTATTCTTTACTCTTCAACCTAATGCAAATGTGTAAAAAAAACCCTTCTGCACCTTTCGAGCCAGTATCTTCATACAGCAAAGAGGAGTCGTGGCGACATCTAGTGGTAGAACTCGAGCACTACACCCGCATTTTCAGCCCAATCTGCTTAACCTGAGGGGGAGAACACAAAACAGACATATCTGGAACAACAGTGCGTGTTATAAATGTTAGTCGATTTTTTTAAATGCTGAATTACATTCTCAAATGTAGTTTGTCGAGGGGGAAAAACACGTAAAATAATCGCGACGAAATTCGCTGTTGCTAGGGGCAACCGGGGAAACTTTGAATCGCCACAAGCCGAAGCATCACTGCAGCTCATTGCGGTAGAGACGCCTTTGTGAAGAAACCCGTTTTTTTTTCTCTGCAAAACACAGCCTTGAAAGATTCAACATGACATCTCCGCAGAAACTCCCAGTAGACCTCAAAACGATGATCAGAGACACTAAACAGGTACGTTGGAGAGCGTGTGATGTTCATACAAAACTGTTTACGCCCATTTCAGCGACTGCCACGCATCTGTGTGCCTGACAAAATCGATCAACCACCGACTGTTTTGAAATTGTGTTTGTGATAAAAAAAAATCGTGCTTTGAAACACATAATTCGCCCAAACAATAGCAAAGCAACTGGTCGCGCATTGCTTAAAAAAAAAAAAAAAAAAAAAAAAAAAAAAAAAATCTGTTTTTTTATACTTATTTCATTTTAAAATTGAATTAATAGTTTTGCTTTATAATAGCAAAGGCGCGATACTCTACTTGCAGTTTGTGAGCTTTAAAACCAATAACATATCGTCACATTTTTTTTAACCCTATTTAATATTTTCAATTAATTTATGTCAACGTTACTTCCCCTAATTCCGTTTCGTTGACTCGCAACTTGAACGTTTCCACCGATACTGCTTAAGAAAATAAAAATAAACAATACAGATCATATATAAAACGCATCGACTTTTCTTTTCATAACATGCCTCAGTGGCGTCACACTGAATGGGGTAAGTTGTCACAATGGGCATAAACAGCATAATGCCAGCAAAAATGCATAGTGTAACTTGCAAAAATGCCATTGTTTTGGTCAAGAAATATTACAGTGCACTGAACAAAATTATATCCATAATTTTTATATATTTCAAACATGTGACAACTTGCCCCAACAATTACCCTAGTTCTGAAAACTCAGATAAACCTTTATTTAAAATCTGCCATCATTGTATATTAGGCTCTTGCTTGACTTGTGCATCCAAGTGTAGTTTTATTGTGGTTACTTGTGTAATGGAGCAGACCAGGTGAAGTCAGGTCACAAGCAATGCAACAAAAAAAATAAAGGCTTTTATTTGATTTTTTTTAAGTGTAGCTATCAAAAATAAAATGTGTAGCAAAAAATAAATAAATAACAATCATGATGAAATGGGTAAACCAATCAAAACTGGCAAAAAGATATGATTGTAATGCCTCTAAAATAAAATAGAGGCCCTACCCTGATGAACAAATACTAAATAAAAAAATAACTATTTAAATCAAATAAAGAAAATCCCAAATAAGGCTCTCATGCAAACAGGATATAGACCTGAGTCGACCAAAACCATGGGAGGTGAGTATTAAAAAACAACATTTAGTGATGAAACCTAAACAAAAGCACACCTCTGAATAATACCCATCATTTTTAAATGATCATACAGCTGTATCCATAACTAAACTAATAATAAAATGAAT